AAAAAAAAAAAAAAACCAAACAAAAATACAACATTATTTAGCTTTAAGAGGGTTAGGCCTACCCTAAAATTAAGGAACGCTCGACCTCGACACGTGATATCGAAATGGGCGAAATCGCCTCTTGATATCACTAACTCTCCTGACTCCTAACTCCTTTCTTATAGCATGGCACCGGACCACGGAATCCAGGATATCATCCTTCTTTGGCCTGGTCCAAGGGCGAAACTCTGTAGCCATTATTAGTGGCGTCAGTGTCCTCAAGTAGTCGTCCACGCACGCTTTCCCTCACTTTGGGGAAGAGGTAGAAGTCCAGAGAGGACAGATCCTGCGGAAGTTTGTGGGCGAGTACATTAAAGTCATAGTCATCATGTCCTCTGGGACGCATCCCTCCTTGATGGTGATGCGTTCTTAACATACTTTGTGTCATCCGCAGTACTCCAAAACAAAGCAGCCAACGGAAACTACAACCTCCAAATCCTGTGGCATTTTATCTTGCCAGCCATACATAAATGAACGCCCCCACCTGCAGGAAATGGACCTGCTTCTGTTGCAAGAGAGCGCGGCTCCTCATCGAAAGCGGAAATCCAGGATGCCATGGCAGACTGAGACTGGAAGATGCTCGTCTGCCTTGTTTACCACCAGGATCCATTTAGCACATGACTTCTTCCTCTCTTGCAAGGTTAGGGAGAGCTTACGTCGACAACTGTTTGAGGACACAAACGCCATGAACAGAGCCTGCAAAGCATCGCTTCTGGACCTGGCCAAAGAGGACAAACCTCCTGGATTTCGCTGTCTTCCACCACGGGGTAAGAAATAAAAGGAGCTCACTAGTGACTGCTTTGACGAGGTGACATCCCTAAAAACATATCCGGAATATATCGTGATATATTATTGAGAGTTCGATGACTTATGAAGCAATAGCTCAGAATTTTTGGAGGACCTGCGTCTGTCTAAACCAATAGTTCTTGGTTCGACTATCCAACAAACTCAGAAGCTGCACCTTCGCCGTTCAACGGTTTAAGGTTTCATCATTTTTTTTACCCATTGCAGGACGAATTTTGGTGGTGTGCAGTAATTCAGTCTGCGAAATTGAGCATTTTTGCAAGCAAAGAAAGTTTCGACATCTAAAGAATTGTTTTTGCCAACGACCATTGAACTTTTGAGAATCGACTGCAACTATCGAATAGGAAATGCGTTTAGAAAATAACGGACAAAAAAGCTTGTTCCAACATGTTTTCAGTCTTATATCTTTCTTTGCACTGCAACGGGTATATTCACGAATTCATTGCTCGCATTTTTTAAGTACCTGTACATCATTCAGCAGTATTTGTTATTTCACACCCCTTCTCCTGATTTGCCACGATGTAACTGTATGGTGCTTGGCAAGTAGCTTACTCCAGAAACTTATGGAATTAAAATCAAAATATGCTTGGACGTTGCCTTAGACTTCAACCCGAACTGCGTAAATGTATGCATAATGCAATGGACTAATGGTCAATCGTCGGAGAGATCTTACTTAGCCGTTTTAGAACGCCAAGGAAATTTTTTAAATATTCCATGGTGAAAAAAAAAACAGTCATGAGAAGTACAGTACCGTGAAAATAAACCCTATTTAGGGTGTATCGAAATTGACAGTCTATTTTTTGCAATACATACATCGTTTTTTGTACATTTTGAACTGTTCATAACTCGGTTACGTTAAGTGTCGAAGTCCATCGTAAACTAAAGACCTAATCGAATACCACATCCCTTAGAGATAAGGAAGATTCTCCATCGCGGCCGTAAGCAAATTTCTTTTTTGCAGGTTTGTCACTCCATTTCCTTCATCGGGTGCATGGCCATTGTGGCTGATGGCGTGAACTGGACCGCTTGGAAGGAAGGTCGCCGCTCGGAGTTCATTTCCGAAGAAAGTGGGTGCTGGTCGTTTGCGAAAGTGCGACCGTTTCCGAATTGAAAGAATATTTCAATTCTATTAAATTCAATTTAAATATCGCGTCATGAGTTTTAAATTCGGGAATGGTTTTGGTTTGATCCGGCCCTTTCGACTCTTTCAGCATTGAACAAAATCCCGATCGTCAGCATCGTCTACTCCCTCGTTCGGATCGGCATGGATTCCCTTCTGGTCCATGGGATCCGCAAGGTTCGTTTCTGAAGCCGGTAAATCTATTGCAAATTATTTTAGGTTCATGAGGGATTAATTCAAAACGGATTGCTAGTTCAAGTATTTCCCTTTGAATGATGATATAGCGGAAGATTTACGGATTAAATGAGCCGCTTGATTTTAATTTTTTAAAGAGTGGTATCTCTGAAGGTTTAATCCCAGTGGAGAAAATAAAATTGATTTCAAGAGTCACAAGAATGAACCGGGAGAAGGTGTTGAGCTCATCTGCATATTTTTTCCATGCTTCAGATGAAGCGGAAACTGATAATTCCATGGTTGTGGGTGAACATCCTGCTGATGATCGTGGCAATGTGCGCTGCGGTCATCATCTTCATCATCGGGCTCGCCATCAGTCCAAAGGACTATCCCGGCTTCATCATCATGCTGATCACCTGCGCCATCGCCTTTTCCATCGAGATCTACTTCCTCATTGTCGTCTACTCCCATTACGAGGTTGGTATTTTTTTGGTACCCTCGGGACTTTCACTGAAAGGGCAAAACCTTTCGGTCGTTTTGGGATCCCATGCTGAAAAAGTGAGAAAACTCCATGAGAGAAAATTCGATTTTCAAAACTTACAGTTTTGCTAAGATTTATTTGATTAGAGCAACCATTCGGAAAACGAAAAATCTGGATTCCCTTGGGAAATTTAACATCATGTAAAGCTTATGAATCCCTTCTAATTGTAAGAGATTGAGTCTAGTAAGTAATTAAGTAAGTATTTAGAGTTACAGCAAAAACATGCTTCATGAAGATCACGTCCCTTAATACTGGAATCTATTTGCAGGATTGAAATTAGTTTTTTTTTCTTCAAGATTTTTTTTTTGCGCATTGAATAATGCTTTTCTTGCCAGCGATTCAAATTTTAAGGATAGAATTTCATTTTCATACCTCCGCTATTGCCTAAATGTACACAATATAAGAGAATATTGTTGCTTTTTCCTTCGTTCAGCCAGAGAAAATGTCCTAAATGTATATTGTATAAATTCATAAATTAATAATAAAAAACCTTTGATTGGCAAAGGAGACCACTGAAACTCAAAAATGAATGTGTTCATATTATTAATTACACATGCAGCAATTAGGTGAAAAAAATAGAAATTTTGACTCGTTTTATTTAGAGCAATCTAATAATAACTTTCACAGAATTGGAAGCAACTACCTAGGCCAGAGAGGCGCCTTTTTTTTTCTCAGAGGTTTTCTGAATGACTTCATAATTTAGATCTGCTAAAACTTTGTAATTTAGATCTGCTCTTTCTTTGGCGTGATGTGCACAGAAATTCCTAAGTTACTCAGGAAAATAGCTCGTGTCGGTTAATGACAATTAGGGAGCCAAGCATTGCATCTCTGAAAGAGCGACTGTACTAGCAACCAGGCATGGAATAGAATCAGAGAAGAATAATCGAGATAACGTATCATGGAGCTAATAATTATTCTTTTTCGATTTCAGGAACTTGGGAACATGGCACGGCCAGGTGACAAAACGTTTCATCACCAGGAAAATCTCCTATTCAATACCCTCCAACCAAGTGCTCCGATACACCCACAGTGAAACCCATCGCCAAAATTGTTTTTCTCTTTCTGACATTTCGATCGAATTTCTGATGGATCTTATGGACCTCGGGTGCCTTTAGCAGAACCACCTGTTAGGTTGGATTTTTGAACAGAGAACTCTCCGATAATGCAGTTTCAATTCCAGGAAATGCCTTTTTTTTCCCCCTGGAATAAAGCTGCATCATCGGACAGTTCTCTCTCGAAAAATCCATAATCGTCATTCAGTGCGTAAAGTTTGCAACGTCCATTAGGAGAAACTCATCTCGGCTTAGTGTGTATGCCTTTGCTGTATTAACATGAATACGCTGACAGAGAGCGCGAGGTTACTGAAGGACATTTCCGTGATTCTTGAAACGCCGATGAACGTGAATATCCCCGTGAAACATGACTTTTGAAAATAAAGCTGGATTGTGTTCTTTTTTTCCTACGAGCTGCAATAAGGTTTCTCCTTCAGCTCGAATATATTCGTCAGTGCGCCCACTCGCATCAGACAGAAAGCCAAACTCGGACCAAAGCTGGGACCTGATAGCGACATGTAAGACGAAATGTTCCCATTAGACATGTGACACTTAGGAATGCAATTTCGAATAGATTCTTTGGGACTGAGGAGGTAATAGAAAGGTAATCATTTGTCCATTCTGGTTCTCGTTGTTGCAGGGCTAATTTCAAATCGACACCTGAGAATATCAGTTCCAGTAATTTTTTTGGAGAAATATCCGTATCTTTCACACGAAGGTGATGCAATCCCCAGACAAATGGTCCCCATGTGAATCAATGCCCTTGCATTTCCTATGGCCGTTGGGCTCTTTTCGCTCGGACGTCGACGGTACATTCTTCGCAGGGGTTGCCAAAAGCACATGTACCATTTGCGACCGGATCCTGCCTTGCAGGGCGGCGTCCAACATGCAGTTGAATTTCGGAGGGAAGCTTCCTACAGGCCTCGTCGACACGATGAGAGAAACTCCAGATAGTTCTAAAGCTATACAATCCTTCTGAAATGGTTGGTGGAAGTTGAATCAGGCCGATAGTCGCCCTCTGGGTTCTTATGCTCAGCGTGAAGTCTTGAAAACCCCGAGATATTGCCTTCTCGACCAAATTGGTCTCTCGAAGACCAGGACCAGTGATACGTCTTCGAGCCTAATTTACTTTGATGAAACCACACGAGCCATTTCTTGCTCCGCTCATCCTGAAAAGACTCAAATCTCGCTCTGCTCTAGCCCTATCCGCTTCCCCCCTTATAGGAAAACCATTTTTGGTGCCGTCGGCAAATTTACTCATCGTACATTCTACGCCTATATCCAAATCGTTAAGGTAGACCAAAAACAGAAGCGGTCCCAGGACCTCGCCCCGAGGGACACCGCTTGCGACCCCGGTCGACGATTCCCTATTAACCATTACTCGACGATCTCTCCCCCTCGACCAGCTCCAGTGTGATCCACTCACTCGTCCCACCTCCTGGATCCCGCAACCTCTTCAGAGGAACGGGATCGAAATCTTCCGCGAGGTCTAGATCGACGATGTCCACGGGATTCCTCTCATCTCTCTCTTCCGTCGCCCCATCCTTGAATTCGAGCAAGTCGGTGAGACGATTTCGACGCCTCCTAAGGCCGTGCCGTGAGTCCCGGATGAGCGGGACTCATGGCATGGCATCCCGGATGAACGGGACTCGTGGCATGGCATCCCGGATGAGCGCGTTTCCTTCGAGGAAATCCAAAATGTGCTCCCGTTGGATGCTCTCCATGATCTTCCCCGGGATACTCGCGAGACTTACCGGCCCGTAATTCCCCAGATTACTCTTTTCACCGTTCTTAAAGATCGGTACGACGTTCAGTAGCCTCCAGTCCTTAAGTACTTCACCGCGCGCAAAGCTGCTTTCAAATATGATTCCTAGCGTAACTGATATTTCTTGAGTTCCTCGACGACTCGAGCCGAAATCTCGTCCGGGCCGGTCGCCTTGCCCACCGCCAACTTCCCTATCGTACGATCGTCTCCTCCGAAGTCGGTGCCGAGTCGGATTCCACAGTGAAAACAGAAGCGAAGAACTTCTTCGTTGATCCCTCCCTCAGCCTTGCGGACGGCCAACAGAGGGATTTGCACGCCGGATGCGGACACCACAAGTTTTAAGGCGGTTCACAAACTTCTCGTGCATGCGCCAGTCGGAGCGACACGGTCCCCTTTCCGTTCCTTCACCAGCCCACAACCCTGATGAAGACTGCCGTTGCCCTTTCAGGCACGGCGGGACTCGAGTCATCTTCAGCGTATTCTATAGGACTATGCAGAAACTAGACCACGCCCACGTCCAGTTGGATCCGCTTCGTGGGCAACAAATTTTCATCTGGCATAAAAAATAAAATTCCAGGTTAATTTTTATTTGCAGTGAGAGAAAATGCAATTAGTAAAGGCATAAATTTCGAATTTCAAAGTGCCACGCTTTGCATCGATATTAGGAGATGCCTTATGTCATCAGGGAACCCTCAACTGGATGAACTCAATTTCTCAGCGAGTTCCGCCTCGTAGCAATTTAGAGAAATTTGAAATTTGGAAGACCCGGGCATTGGACGAGAGATGATTTTGGGGGATGCGGATGAACTCTGTTGAACCGAGCCGATCTGCAGATCGGGCAGCAGCTCGTTTGTCAGTCAAGTTTTTCTTGTTTGGGGCAGGCGAGTACGCTTTCAGAGGGTCTTTTCCTCCTGCCGTTTGCAGCTGCCAGCAGGCAGTTGTGACCTGTGAGAGCGCTGAACAGACCAGCTCGATTGTGACGTCGTGGGATAGCTGGAAGTGCCAGCAAAAGTGCCAGCAAAAGTGCCAGCAAAAGTGCCAGCAAAGTGCCAGCAAAGTGCCAGCAAAGTCGAATAGGAAAAAAAAAAACTCTGAGACCCTAATTTCTGAAGCATAGGGCCTTGCTGGCCCGATCGGCCCGACACGGTGGGGTCGGGTAGGAATCACGATTCGAGTCGAATTCGAAAATGTCGACCCCAGCAGGCCTCCGGTGGACAGACTGACTGACTGACGGAAGACGTCGGCTGTTATTATGTCCAGGGTGACAATAAAGTCCTTGGAAAATCTTTTATTGCCATCTACCACCCAAAATGTTGAGCCAAAAAAAAAGAAACTGAAAACAAAGATAAAGACCTATGTGATGAATTTGATAAAAGATACTAGTTGTTTTCAATGTCGCTCCCTTTAGCTGCCACTCGAGCCGTTTGCGGAAGCTTTCGGCTGAGTTACGGAGGTGTTGAGGCTGGATTTCATCCCATGCTGGATTTCATCCCATGCTGGATTTCATCCCATGCCTTGATGGCTTCCTTTAGGCCAGAAATTGTCCTATGGGGTTCAGAGCGTGCCTCCGCCTCTAACATCCCGAAGTCCGTTCGAAGTCTGGGCTGCTGGAGGTGTTGGCAACCCTCCGGCAACCCTCCGGCAACCCTCCGGCAACCCTCCGGCAACTCGTCAGGCTGGGTCAAGTCTGGGAAATTCGCTTGGCGCCACGCGACAGTCGATCCCACAGTGTGGGATGACAGACAGTCGATCCCACAGTGTGGGATGACAGACAGTCGATCCCATAGTGTGGGATGGGGCGGAGGCCTGCTGGAAGGTCCATTTAAATTGCTTCTCTGCCCACGGTTGCAATGCTTCCGTTCCTTATTTGCGCTTCATTGCCTTTTGATTGTGCTGATCACAAACTTTGGATGACTCTAAGCAACATGGGCGTCCCAAGCCATCTTATCTGGCTGCTAAGGAACCTGCATATTGACCAAGAGGTTACAGTCAGACCTGATTTTGGGGAAACCGAATGGTTCAAAATAGAAAAAGGAGTCTTATTATCGCCTTATTTATTCAACTTGCATGCAGAGCAAATCATGCGCAATTCTGGACCGGAAGAAACAGAAGCTGGCATCAAATTCGGCCGGAGGAACATCAACAGCCTTAGATATGCCGAAGACACCACCTTGACGGCCGAAAATGAGGAAGATTCGAAGGAGTTTCTGATGAAGGTTAAGAAAGAAAGGGCAACAGCTGGCTCAACGTTAAAAAGACCAGGACATTATCAGCTGGCTGTATCACTCAAGTGACGATAGTGATGAGGAAGAAGTTGAAGTTGTCAAAGATTTCGTATTCTTGGGGTCGATCGTCCACGTGGATGAGATTGAAATAAGGAGACGTCTGCTCCTTGGAAAAAAAGCCCTGACGAATCTGGATGAATTGATCAGACCTGATGACATCGCACTGTCGACGAAAGTACGAATTTTCCAGAGTCGCCATGGTTCTCCCAGAAATGGCAGCGAAAGCTGGACGATCAGAAAAGCTGAAAGGGCTGATGCTTTTGAATTGCGGTGCTGGAGGAGATTGCTGGGCATGCGATGGACTGCAAGGAGAACGAACGAGTCGAAATTGGACCAAGTGTAAGCCGAAGGCATCTCTGGAGGCACCGATAACAAAATCGAGGCTGAGGTATTTCATTCGTATGATGAGGAGACGAGACTCATCAGAAAAGACATCGACGCTTGGTAAAACGGAAGGAAAAAGGAGAGGACGACAGAGAGCACGACGGCTGGACACTATCACGGAAGGCACGCAACTGAGGATGCAAGAACTGAAGGAGTTAGCCACGGATAGAAAATGCGAGCGCGGCCTTGTCCATCGGGTCACCGAGAGTCGAACTCGACTAAATGGATCAAACTATCAAACTCAAACGTGGGACGTTTCCCTCTGTTGAGAGAGGGATCGCCCTCTCTCAACGCCTCGACTCCAAACAATCTGTGCTCTACCAGATGCTGGGCCCCATCTGGTATCGTGCATGGTCCTTGCACGGACCAGGCTTGAACAATCTAGCCCATGGCCCTACGTCAAGTCCTTAACCAAAGCCCAATTGCCAAGAAAACTTGACGACGTGAGCGAACCGACCCCCATCCCATTAAAGAACGGTTAGTATAATGGTGGTAGTAAAATGGTAGTATAATGGTGCTGTTGCGCATCGCAATTTCAGTTCACCTTCTAGAGGTTGTGAGCAGTGGCACACAGATCTATCAGATTTTCGTTGCTTCGGATTGACTTTTTTTACATCGGAGAAACAGGAAACTTCTCCCGCTTTAATATTGGCTGAAGCAAAATCCTCTCCTGTCTCACGGCGAAGACGCCAACAATCTGGACTGAGTGCTGCAAGATGAATGGAAGACCCGTTATTTGGGAATCTCAATAAGAACGAGGGATTTCTTCTCTCGCATTTCATTTTCTTTCCATGAATAAACATATTGCCTGTTACTCGACTTCAGCTCGCGACGAAATCTTAGGTAACTCGTTCTAAAACGAAGAATCGGCTAGGAAGATTTTTTTATTATTATTTCATCACATTTCACGTAACATTCCACTTTTCTCCACTTTTTTCCCCAAAATAATTTGATGCTATTATGGCAGCCGTTAGTA